CTTGTCTGCTCAGTTGCTACTGCAAGTCTTACCCAGTGAACTCTAATGTAAATTATGCACAACTTTTGAACATGCTATGTGAATGTGCAAAAGATGAGTTAGTTGTATCATTAAGTTCTGCATCACAACAAATATTCCAACAAAAACTGAAAATATCACTAGTACAGTATATGCTGTAACAGCATGTACATTTTAATTTAGCTCAGCAATCAATACACATATACAGACCTGCTAACCCTTGAGTAGCAGAAATAGTGAGTTATTGCTATCTAACAAGTCGTGAGATTGACTGAAAAATTGTGAGACTTAGAAATGTTCAGGTTTGCTCATTAACATGACCAGGGTTAACTTTAACAACACTAGAAAATAATCAATAGATATTCAATCTTAGGATAGTATGAATTTATATTTTGTTAATATAACCGTAATGCAAGGCTTATGTATTAAAAATAGGCAGTTTTTTCTTTATGGCTTCAGTAGCTTCCAGTGTCAAGTCTCACGAAAAAATAGCATATTTCTTTTTTCCGCGGGTGTTTGGAACACTTAATCGTAAGAAAGCATCTGGGGACTTAATTGTGATAAAGCATAAAAAATTGTGCATCTCACGATTAAATTGTGAGACTTGGCAGGTCTGCATCTAGGTTACAGCCATGATTGAGCTGAATAAACATTAAAACATATTTATAAAAATTTAAATAATGATTTTTATTAAAAGCTTATAGCTATTTCAGGGTTTTTTTTTTCAGGATTCTCTCTTGGGTCCGTTTTTGCAGAAAAGATTGAGTTTAGCTGAACAGCTGGGGTGGCTGCACCCCTCCCCCTACCGGGGGGGGCTGACACCTGTACTCAATAAATGTAGTTGAGATGGAATGTGTTAAAGCAGGGGCACTAAGGGATACTATAAACTGGTTAAAGATGGTGAATGCATAGTTTTTCTTGTGTTGTGAGAGGAATTCCAGCCATTTTTTTTAATTGTCGGGTTTCCAACTGAAAACTAATTTCCACACGTCACAAATTTAACTCAAACTATTATTAGCACTGATGAAGATCCGGGCTTACGGATCGAAAGCTTTGCAGTAATAAATTTATGTGGTGTTTCCACAAACAAAACTATTATATTTTATCACCATGCAAACATACAAAGAACTTATTACTTCATTTTTACTGCACTGAAACTTTGGTGAGAAGATTGAGTTTCAAAACTCAATTCAAGATTGAGTTTTTGGGGCCGTTTAACAGCCCTAAAAAATCCCTGAAAAAACCCCTGTATTTAACCCATCAAGTTGCATTACGCCCTACTTGATTATTTTACTCTGTCTAACGCCAGGTGATTTTACTCATCAAGGAGAGAGGGCCATGGTGCTTAATGGGTCAAACTTAACAGTAAAGCTGGGCTTGCATTGTCCTAAGTGGTATACACAACAAACATTAGTGTTTGAGGGTTAGGGCTTGTGTTGGCTGCAGATCAGCTCAAATATCACCCACATGGGAAAGGCTTTTATAATAGAAGTGATCATATATTGTGAGCATTTTATTGACTTATAATAATAGAATGAAATATAATAACAATGTAAGTAATTGCAGGAGCAGTTTTTACTCAGTAATATACGACTTGATTGCAAGTATGAATTAGATCGATAAAAGTCGATCAATCCAATGTAATGTTCATTTCATACAAACCTCCAGGCTCAATGAAACCAATACTATTTATGATATTTTTGTGTGCGCTTTGATGTTATGTACTCAGGTGAATATAATGTTTTTGATGTTACTCTGACTGTATATCCATGCACCCCGAGCAGGCTGAAAAGTTAGCCTGATATCATGATGATAGAACACATTGGTATCAAAGGTTAAAAGGTACTAGACTTAGTTCCGAAATACCACACACTCGAACATACTTGGCCTCGTAGCTCATTTGGCAGAGCATTGGTCTAGTACCCCAAAGGTCACAGGATTCGATTCCCACCGTATCAGGCTAACTTTTCAGCCGGCCTGTCCGGTGTGGGTATACACTCAGAGTAACATAATATATAATTATATAAATTGATCATCTGGTACTGTATGTTACAGGTTCATTGACTGATAATTATCAGGTATGGATTTTTATTAGTTGAAAAAGAATATGCATGCAATTTCAGTGATGCTGAAATATTAATTCTGCATGTATTATATTTTAATATTTAGTTGATTAATTGTCAAAATAAACAAATGTGAATGCAATTACAATATGGCTCATTAAATTCACAGAAAACTTCCCCAGCAGTAATATATAAAATTGGAAATAGTTTTTCAGAAATCTTGTGGTCAACAGAAGTTAACCATACAGAAATATATAAACCAAAACAATGGATTGAGTTTTCATCTTCAGTTTATAAAATACTATGTACAGCACTAATCACGCTTTGAAGTTGTCCAACAGTCCAATTGATAATAAATTGACAAATTGGGTTTGATTGTTATCGATTGTTAAATTGCAAGATCCAAAATGCAGATACAATGACAATATTTATAATTTTTACACTGTAACCATATTTATAAGCATACATGCAGATGACAAAAAACTCAAAAAACTTATAACAACACAGTTAATTATCTTTAGTTTAAAAATATATTAAAGTTGGTTAATACCAGACTTAAGCAAATCGCAATAAAAATAGAAACAGTTTGGTACGTTTTGGGTCAATCAAGTAATTTTTAAACTTTATAATTACATGTATAAATACAGACATTATCACTAATGATAATAGTTGTAGCGAAAATATCCATGGACAGTTATACTTCGATATAACAAATTATATATTTTCTACGTTTAAGTTATGGCTTACAGTTTTGTTTTAAGTTTGAAGACATTAAATAATCCGATATCGTGGAAAATGGTGCTCTGGTTGATATAAACATTTGCGTGTAAATACTGTACTGAGTGGTTGTATTACTACCTTAAAAAATAAGCAGAAACTCGACGTTTCGAGCGAAGGCCCTTCGTCAAGAGTTAGTAAGTTACTAGGTACTCTTGACGAAGGGCCTTCGCTCGAAACGTCGAGTTTCTGCTTATTTTTTAAGGTAGTAATATAACCACTCAGCACAGCATTTCTACATTGGTACTACCTACATTGGTACAGACAGTTTGCATGTATTAAAATACTGTATGGCTTTATAAATATTCATGCCAACGAATATCATGCATCACCTCGAATATCACAACTCACCTCAGGACTCAGTTACCCTCAATTGTAGATTATTGTCTAGACTATCGAACAATGATCTTTTCTTGAATTTTCCATATCAAAATTAATAACTGTTCTTTTCTGTGTATTTTTACAAACACATGAAAATACAATTACATTTGATTTGAGTAATAACATTTTGCATATTTTCGCGCGAAGGCAAATAGCCTGGAACTAGTGTTGCTGGGTTTGTTGGCCCAACAATGAACCCAACGCAAATCCACTATTCCTAAAACGTGACTCATATGATGAAATGAAATCGTTTGAAAATATAAAATTATTGATTGTGGAAGCAAGAATATACTTTTATTTTTGTATTCTCGTGATTCTAAATACTGTACAATCAATTACTTACATTTTGTAGCTGAATTTCAGGGATTTACAGCATAAAAATGTACAAACGTCATTGGAATTTAACAAAACATGACATATTATGTAATGAATAACAACCGTTGCATGGTTCAAACGGTCACTTTCATTGGTCAAAAGGGCGTAATTATCCCCTGGAACGTTGCGTTTAAAACGTAAACAAACGTGAAAAAATTTGCACGCTGCAAGCTTGAACGCAAATGGCAGTAAAATATAGTTGGACAGTGATGAGAATCAAGGAATTTATTTTATGTGGCCTAAGGTGGTGTTTATATGAAGCGAGCCAGCTCGGGTACCCAAGCTGGCCTGCCTAACCGAGGTCCTGCTTTGTGTGACTCGAGACCTTGGATAAACGGGCTGGGTAGTTTTCCATATAAACACATTTACCCGAGCCGGCTTGGCTTTTAAGTAAAATAATGTCTTTGTGCGCATGCCCAGAATTGCATTTGACTTTCCCATGAAAATTTGTATTTGTTTTCACATGTAAGCCCACCCCAAAAGTTTCATGTAAACGCGTGGTGAAATTCATCTTGGGGAAGCGAGTTAGCTCGGGTACCCGGGCTGGCTCGCTTCCATATAAACAGCCCCTAAGTTGGGTATCGTACATAGTTTTCAGCTAAGTGCAAACATGGCATATGCAAAAAAAATGTCATGGCTGTAGTATAGGAAGTAATAATAATAATAATAATAATAATAATAGTCTTTATTAAAATACTCAGATACATCCGTCTGAGTTTACAATCGAAAGGTAATTGATCTAGTTATATTTACAATTGTAAGTTAAGAAGCGTAAAAAGTTTTAAAAAGTTTTTAATAGATTAAAGTCTAAACAAAGTTATACAGACAACGATTTATGAACGACCTTTTGAATCTTTCTGTTCTCACTAGGGGGAGTTCATACTCATGCCCTCTAGGCCTAAGTAACCTACTTCTTTTTTCCGGCAGCAGTTCAAGCAATGCATTGTCCTCAGTTGATGTTATTTTGTTCCACAGTTTCTTATCTCTCTTATCACGTATTTCTTTAATGTGTGTTCGTTTTGATATATAACCATTCTTATGTGCACGTTTAATGAATTTATCTATTTGGTTCAAATATTTACCGTCGTATGCACAACCCCACAGCTCAATAGCAAAAGTGAATATCGACATAATTAGGCTATCAAACAGCAGATCTAATTGTTTAATTGATAGTCCATAGTATTTGCAAACTCTCATAATGTACATTCGTCCACTTGCTTTTTTGAACATTTCTTCAAAGTGCAAATCCCAGTTGCACGGGTTATCTTGTAGAGTAACTCCTAAAAGCTTTAGCCATGTTTTTCGCTTAATTGAAGGGATAAGTTCGGGCAAAACTACAGAGGTGTGTCTGCGAACAACCATTTCGTACGTTTTTTCCAAGTTTAAGAGCATTCTATTCTCTTCCGCCCAATCCTGTAAACAGGCAGCTTCAGATCGAGATGTGTCTCCACTTTCGTTGCCAGGCACTCCTAACGTCAAATCGTCAGCAAATTTGACTAACGCATTACTAGGATCAGCAGTTTTAATATCATCAACCATTATTGAGAAAAGAACTGGGCCTAAAACAGTACCTTGAGGGACACCACGATTAATATATAAATATTCTGTAACCATTCCATCAACCATTACTCTTTGTATTCTATTTTCTAGAAAGCTAATTAACCAGTTCACCACATACGGATTAATGGGTAGCTTTTTAACTTTTTCAAACAAAAGATCGTGGGGCACACTGTCAAATGCTTTGCTGAAATCGAACGACAGCACTCTAACACAATTAGCGTTTTTATCCAGCCACTCTAGCCATTGATGTTGGGATTTAATCAGAGCCACAGTCGAGTTGTGACCCTTTTTATAAGCAAATTGGTCAGGACCAATGTTATTTCTTGTGATAGGTTCGATTTCAGATTTATACACGCACTTCTCGAATAGTCTCATGATGATGTCCGTCAGAGAGATTGGTCTTAACTGGTTGCACGAATTTAATGGTGATTTTTTAGGGAGTGGTAATAAATTAGCGGATTTCCATTTCTGAGGTACTTTGCTGGTTTTTAGTGACATGTTAAAAATTTCTGTGACAATAGGAGCTAATTCAATAGCAAACGATTTCCAAAACCAATATGGCAGATTGTCCGGACCCGATGAAGAGCGTTTTTGATTGCGTAAAAGATGTTGAACTTCATGAATTGACAACGAGGGAATTCTTGTTCCTTCGGAGATTTGAAGAGGCTCGGGAGTCGTATAATTTGGGTCTGTATTCACACTTTGAAAATATTTGTTAATTTCAATAGGGTTAAGAGAAGCACTTACAGATACATCATGTTTCTTTTTTCTCGATGTAATGCTATTTACGTTAGACCACCAACTTTTCGATCCAGTTTTCTGGTTGCCAAACTCCTGTTTGACTGCACTTAATTGATTTTCCCGGATTAACTTGTTGATTTTTTCTTGCAATCGTGTATTTGCTTCAGTATTTCCGTTTTGTATGGCTCTTTTCCTTTGATTCAGAAGGTGGTTCACAAGAGGAGACATGAACGGTGGGTCGCGTGATGACGTTCTGACCTTAATTAGTGGGAAGCTCTTATCGAATTTTAGCCATATTATTTCATAAAATTTTAGGGTTATCTCATCTAGGTTATGGCTATTCATAATTATCGTGTTCCAATCAATAGATTCAAGTTCACGAAGCATATTCAATTGATGATGTTGTCTCACATCTCTGAAATAGGAATTTGTCCTTGTTGCTTTAACTATGTTTCGGGGGTACGTGATAACCATATCATGGTCGGATCTCACCAAGCTTTTTACAACTTTAACAGATTTCCAATAGTTTGGGACATTTGTAATAAAGACATCTAATATTTTTAACCCTCTCGTAGGGGTCTT